ATCTTCCGCCCAGGTTCCGCCCAGTCGGTTCGGTAAACCGCTGGCTCCCACCTAAGGAGCTGGGCCATAGCCGCTTCGGTAAGGCGGTGAAGCGCTGGCGTGCCTTGGGGTGGCATATCATGAACTTCACCCAGATGCCAAGCTCACCGGGACGGCCAAACGTCGACATGCAGCAAAAACCTGTGCCTCTTCATGGTTTTGCCTGAGATAGCTTTTGCATAGCTTTGGAATCTGAGACGGTTTAGTGCAGCCAAACGAACTCGAGAGCATGAACAATCCCTCCAACTCCAGGATCCTGCAGGTTTCAGCTTCTCTCACTCAACTCCAAGCGCGGAAGGGGTCGCTGGTTCGTATCTTGTAGCCACGGGTTCAGGCACCAAGCACGTCAGTGGGCCACGGCTCACCAGCAAGTCCTTGAGCCTTGGCAGCAAGGTGGCAGAGCTATGCAGAGCCCAGGTAGTAGAACGAATCGCGTTTGACATATCATCCTGCGTCCCTACCAGCCAGTCTGTTGTTTCTGTGACTCAAAAATGTGTTCACTATATCTTGAATAAGATGATCCTTGGACAGTCTAAGAAGGAACGTGTTTTTTTTAAGTCATGTTATGTCAAGTTTAGAAAACAACTCTTGTTGCTTCAGTATGTCAGTCTGTGTGTTGGTGTTTTGACTTATTGCGTAGAATGGCAGAGGTTCAGGTAATAGATTGAAAACGTTTAGAACATCATCAGTGATGTGCTGGCTTTTGAAGACAGGGGAACTGATAACCACTGGGAGTGGCAGGTGCACCGCAGTGCATCCAGAGGAATTTTCCGCTGTGGGTGGGTGATGAATGTTTTTTGTTTAATGTAGTTTCTGTGGGTGATCGGCTTATCTACATCAGTTGTAGTCATCCAAAATCATCCAACTCCCTGATGGCAAAGGTTTGGTGATGTGGTTTCATGTGGGCTGGGGCCAGTAGACCCGCGCGTCGGACGGATCCAGCAATGCCGTCGCTGGGTCAGATGCCATCCAGGTTTTGTCCTGCAATGCTTCAATAATTGTTCCAGCCAGTGGCACTCAGGAAGTTCACGCCTCCAAATTGGCTGCTGAATGGCCACTTGACAGCCGACGCTGGAGGTCAGGAGACCACTTCTTCATTGACCTTTCAAAAGAAGGAACAGATCACACCATCATCATCCAGATTTAATCTCCCGTGATGGCGGCTACCCCTGAAAAATACTCTGATAGATCTTTATAGCAGATTGGGATGTGCTCCGGTGCGTCGAACACCCATCCGCACACGTTCGTCGGATGGCCAAACACCTTCGTCGGATGCATGACTTCTTGGACTCCATGACTTCGTGGTGATGGTTTGTCTGGTTTCGGGTGTTCGATTTCCGGCCTAAGGCACCTGGCAATGGCTGGTGGAGCACGATGGGAACATCGTCTTGGACCTTCATAAGCTCAAACGCTTCCTGCGGAAGCGCAAGCGACGCTCTCTGGATCCTCGGACGGCAAAGGGAGAAAGGCGGAGGTTTTCGACAGAAGTGGAAGATAATTCCACCAGTCGAGAGTTTTGTCGAACTACATCCAATGCCTTGTATTGTTGTTGCAATTTCATGGTCTATGCTTTTGGACTGGTATTCCAGTTTCTACTTTTGGGACTGATATTCATGAATGACTATAGCACGTCAGTCAGTCGGTCCTTCGAACGGCCGAGCCTCGGCGAAACACGCGGCGACGGACGCCATGGACAGGTCTTGCTGAATTGGGGTTACCACACGGACTGCAGCGACGACGGCTTTGACTGCTTCATGACGGAAGTCTCGAGCATGCTCACTGAGCGGGTGCAGTATGCGGCTTGGTGGACGAAGCTCGGATGTGTTGCAGCCGATGAAAGCTCGGATGTATTTCTTGGATTTTCTTGGACCAGCATCCGGTGCATCCGGTGCACGAATGGCCATTGAGGTGTTGTTGACACTGCATGTAGGCCACGTAGATGGCAGAATGTTCTGTTTGAGCATCTTAGATGGGATAAATGCTGTGTTGTCAAGCACCTTGGAGGTCCAGGGTTGTACATGATTGCACTGTACAACCAAATGAAGCTTGTACTGGGACACAAAAAACGGCCAGTGGTGTTTCAATTGCTTTGCAATGGAGCTGGTGGTGGAGATGGTGTTGGAGATGGTGTGGCAAGTCCTTGCCAGTGGTTTCCAACTCTGAAGAATCCATGTCCGAAGTGAATCCTATTTGTTTAACATGCTCAACAACTGATGTTCATGAAAGGATTCTCAGCAGGGCCAGGGTTTTCTGGGAGAAGAGTCACAGTCGAGCGCTCATCAACCCAAAATTCGCTCTAGCAGGGAACTTAATCGCTTTCCTCTCCCAGACACTCCATGCATGGATATTCGCCTACGTACATTGCGGGTGGTTTCAGGCGTCATTGAAATTGTCATGTTATTGATGCACTAACATGGAAGCGGACAGCCCTTTGGTTCTAAAGTCATAAAGGAGAATCGTCTTCCAAGGGGGGCATAGGGTGCATGTATCAACCAATTGGTATTTGAAGGTGCGTTTTCTGGTCTCTTTCCCTTCTTGCAGGGGTGGTCCAAAAACCTGGACCTTGTCCTACTTGGCGGGGAGTTGAGTCTCCAGGACCCACCAGGAATCGGTTCGGTGCGCCGAGGTCGCATCCTCCAAAGAGAATGTGCTGAAGTGGAAGGTGCCCCTTGTTCACTGTTTTTTTCAGCCCAAAAGAATGCAAAATTCAGTTTTTTTAGAATCAGTGGATGAAGATGTTGTATGATGTTGATGAAGAAAGACAATTTCAGCAACCCTCCCTGGCTTTGCTTGGAACGACTGACCACAAGGAAGTCTTATTACTCATAGCTTGGATCCACATTGGATCACGTTTGGGTGTCCTTGTCAGAGCGTCATATTGCATCTTGACCACACTGTGCCAGCACCTTCCGGTGTTCGCACTGTTCGAAGTCCTGGAAGTGCTAGGATGTCTTACAGAAGATGCACGTTGGGAAGTTGACCCATGGTGGCAGGAGCGCCTTCCCAAGCTCCACTCCGCTTGCGCTGGCTTTTTGCGCTTACTTACAGTGGGTGGTCATGGGTTCTTTAGGGGGGCATCATCAGGCTTACTTGCTCAGATTTGTATAGAGTGATATTTTTCCCTATGGATATGGATGAAGTCCTTCTCAGGAATATGTTTTTTTTGTTTTAAATCCCAGTCCCTGGGAGTCCCTGGACAGCAAATCCAAGCTTGTGGAGCTTGGGTTGCTTCCCTCTCAAAGCAAGGGCTGATTTGAACCGGTCCGTAAGACCCCGTTGCTCACTGGAAGCGACTGTGTCTCCACCCGGTTTGGTTTTGGTCGTGTTCAGAATCCGTGAGCTCTTCGTGAGCTCTTTATCATGGCTCCTCCACAACGCTGCCCTTGAATGTCTTACGTCTTACATGTGGTTGACATGATGTTATAGCTATACTTCCAGACGTTCCATGTATAGAATACAACAATTGGGGTGGTTGAAGTCGGGGTCGGGGCGGCAGTCCTATGGCAGTCCCATTCGTCGTGTCTTGGTGATCTCATCCGGCTCGGTGCTCGGGATGGGTGGTTGCCGTTCTGTGCCGACCTTCGTGGGGCAGGAGGGGACAAGAGGTCTAGGGAATAACCCTACAATTCCCTACACACATCTACACACTCCCAAGTTGGTATCCTGCACCAGTTGGATAATCTTCCAAAAATCTGGGCACGTGACGTGTGCAGGATATGGATCATCATGGATCATCCCAATCAACAACTTCATCCCAAACATCTATCCCGACCACCTCACCACCTGGGACCCCCCAGGTCGACTTCGGACCGGGCCTTCGGGCCTTCGGGGCGGCCAGGAAGTATGCGCCACCGAACTACTATGAAACGAACGCGGCTCGGATTAGGTGTTGGACGTGGCATGGGGACCTGTGTGCGGGACTGGGGACTGGGGGGACACCCCATGACCTGTAATTACAGTGGTTTCAGAGGTTCGATGGCACAGACCCCATGATGTCCTTTAGCTGGGGATCCATATAAACATATATAAACCACCGACATTGGGGTCTGTGCCATCTACCCTCAATTCACTATATATAACAGTCGGGAAACAATAACTGTATCAGTATTTTAGAGAAAGGCTTGCAAGTTAGAAATTGGCCCGTTGGACTCGTAGAGGTCGATTTTTGTTCGCGCGCACGAGGCCACGGAGAGCGACATAGCGCGACAGAGACCGAAACACTTCGGCAGGACCGAGACGGATCCTAGACACTGGAAAAAATATGAAACAATAATGCCTTGTCCCACACATATCAATCAGAGTCATGTATAGGTCACCTATGGTACTATGGTCACAAGGTTCACGACTCCTGTTCTTAGTCGATTTGGGCAACTGCTGCTGGTAGTTGAACGGTCCACCTTCCGACTGGCTTCAGTTCCACCACCTCCGGTGCCGCGAAAAGTGCCGCGACGGATTTGGGCGAGACGTGGTCGGGTCCGCCTCGGTGGTCGTCGTCTCGCTGAAACAAGGTGATCTTCCGGAATTTGAAGCACAAGCAAGCGGGGAAGGTCCGTGTTGCTTGGAGAAAGTCACGCCAATAAATTCGGGGTGGCAAGGATGAACCTCCAGGGTGGCCAGGGCCGGCGAGGGCCAGGGGATATGGAGCGGCCAACTAATATATGAATTGGTGATTGACTTGCTTGCTTTCAGCAATCCACTGCACTGGAATGTGTAATGGTGTGATGGTCTCACTGTGTCTCTAAGCAATTCAATGACGTCTCACTATATACAGGTCACCACAGGTCACCTATATGTTAACTATGCTGTTCCGCCCTTCTCCTCCATACTCCTTCTCTTGTGCGAAGAACACTTGGATACTCGAGTGGCATCACCACCACCTATCCCAAACACTCCATGGGACTGCCATATATACATATATATATATATATATATATTATATACGTACCCCATTGACCCCGACTTCAACCACCCCAATGTTTGGAGCATATTCAGGTGTCAATGGGATGGTTTCAGGAGCATCATGATGGGGTGCTTTCAGAGCTCGAGCTCATGGAGCTCGCCTCCATCCTCAATATATGCCCCTAAGGATCCAAGTACCCTCTGAGAAGGTGGGACTGGGGTGTGTTTGGAGGGTCCAGTCGTACCTTTTGAGGTTCGGTACGACTGGATCCCTAGGGTGCACACATGGAGAATCTGGGTTAGCTAGAAGGTTGCACCGGTGGATGTGTGACGATCGACCCGACGATCATCACGGGCCAACATGGATGGAGGAGCATGTTTCGGAAGACCATAAGGTGGTGAAGTCCACTGGTAAGTGGTTTCAGAGGTTCGATGGCACAAACGCCTGCATGTCTTTTAGATGGGGGTCCATATAAAGTACCTTTTGGTGAGTGTGCCATCTACTCTCAATCCACTGTACATGATTCTTTTGGGGGGAAGTTGCAGCGCTTTGGACAAGTCATGACAAGTCATCACAAGGTGAAGATTCGCATGGCTGGTTTTGCTGCATCTTAGTTCTTGGATATTCACATCCTTTGCAATCGTCTCAACACCGTAGTTTTGCCTCTGAAATAGCAAAAAGAGGAGAAACACACACAGACACACCACACAACGTCTCTCGCAGGAATCTTCTAGCATGACTGCATTTCAAGACCAACATAGAGGTCAAGAGAACTTTAACTGCACAGAAACACCACCATTCAGATTCACTCAGATACGTATAACGTGAGATCATATGAGGGTCCCAGATCCAAGCCTTCTTCAGTTCTCAGATCGATCTCGCAGTTCTCAGGATGCCTTTGAAAAGACCTACTTGAAGTGCCAAGATATCCAGCGAGATCAGTTCCTGCTGCCCTTCTTCTTGTGGCCACTCGGAGAGGGCACCGTCCATGCGGCACCATCGGGACGTACCCATGACGTACCCTCCGTCCATTCGTTCGGCAGGTTTGTGCTCGGGTGTGTTGGGTGTGAAGGTTGGAATTCTGGAGCCATCTATTTATACATTTTATCCCTATAGGGATCCACATACCTTCTCAGAAAGTACTTGGGCCCTCCAAGCCTACATAATAAACAGTCTCCAATCACCTTCTCAGAAAGTACTTGGATCCCTAGGGTATATACTGTAGTCCCTTTTTGGGGGATCCATGGTTCATGGATCATCATGGATCCATGATGCATGCATCCACCTTCTCAAAAAGATATGGACCCTCCAAGTCCAAGCCCCAAACAAGGTGTCGAACACATCAATTTCTCACAGGGTATGTCGATCATTGTCATGTATCCGCAGGGGTTTAAGTCGCCCTGTTTGGCTACGAGGATCAGGGATGAGTATGTCTTCAACAAGTATGTTGATATATGTGTTGATGTTCCACAGCGACAGATGTTTGGATAACCCACATCCAATTTACACAACTTTGATGTTTATTTGTAAGAAGTCATGTGGCTGTCGAGGCAAGGGGTCAATGGTGGATCAGAAGTGCAATCGCACTGAGTGCATCAACATGCATCAACCATCAATGAACTACACTATTCGCAAAAGAGCCAAGTTCATACGCCTTGACCTCTTGTTGCCTATACACACCAACTTAGGCATGGTATCATTTCAGATATATTCAGATCATTTGGTCCGTTGATCCTCGGAGACCTTGACGGGCGACGTCACATCTATCGCCTGCAAGAACCCACGACAAATGGCACCATCAACGTTCCTTTTGTCCATAAATTGCTTCCACACGGAAATTAACTTGTGGGTTGCGGGAAGCTTGTGCCCAAGTGACAAATACCATTACTGTTGCCAAAATGGTTGGGGCGGGTCTCAAAAAGAATGTTCCCATTTCATTCAGACACGTGATCATATTTCAGCAAAGATCATGACGGCAACATGCTTGGTACTGGTAGTAACTGTCGGTCGTTTCCGCTATCATTATGACATCTCCAGACAGCAGGTTCTTAATATGTTCGTATATGTTCTTTTCCTTCTCATTGACTCATTGGTGTGTTTTGTGGGGGACAAACCCACCGGCCACACCCATCACTTCACTTAACCGGGCCATGCTCCGAAGAGAAGACGGGGTGCCGCACCGGGCCCTTTAGCCGGGGCGGCCCGTCCGTCCTCCGCTCGGCCTCAGGCAGGACCGGCTCACGCCGAACCACTCCACCGAGGCAGGAGGGGAAGCGAATGGAGGCGAAGACTGGAACTGGGGACGAGTGCAAGTAGGTAGTATGTGTAGTACGTAGTACGAAGATGGGTATCCCCTCAGACTTAGAAATCTGAGGGGATACCCAGTCGACTTACAGAAGATCCTATAACGTGTGTTTATGTTGTTGTTCTGCTTTAATGTGTGTGTCTTTCATTAGGAAGGAGCGATGAAATGTTTGCTAAAGAGGGCAGGTTTTGGATGTCTGAAACGCACCTTTTTGAAGTGTGATGAGAAGGGAAGGGCCAGAAGACAATTTGATAACTATAGACTATAGATAACTGGTCAAGTGAGCAGTTCCTTTTCAAAACTGAACCAACGTGAACAGAGCACTCGGAACCGACGGACGAGGATGCGTCAGCCAGTTTTGATCCTGCTTGTTTTTGAAGACCATGGCCAGTGGAAAGTTCTTTCTGATGGTATTACCAGGACCTTCCAGAAAGGGGTTGTTTTTAGAACCTGAACAGGTGGTTTTCTGGGCATTTGGGGCACCGAACTGGGAGGGTCAAGTGGAATCTTTTATAGTGGCTGGATTGAGAGTAGATGGCACAACCCAAGTTTCATGGCATATTAATATATGGACACCCATTTGTTTAAGTCATTTTTAGGTACCAGTGCCATCGAACAATTGAAACTACTGGTAGATCTAGAAAATACTTGGAACTTCTGGAGGGGTCGCATTTCACGCGAGCCCTCAGCCTGAGCGACAGCCCTCACCCTGCGCCCAATCCGTTTTCTTTTCGGAGGCTATCCCCATGGAGCGACTGGTAGAGGAAGTGGGCTATTGCATGGTGGACACCCGTGTGGGCCGCAATTGATCCGCAAACATCTCAATCCTCCCTGTTGAACAGAGATGTGCCACAGACAGAGATGTGGCTCAGTAGAATAAGTTTGAGAATGGCCAGAGATACCCAACAGATTGTTGCTCAAGAGGGAGAAGGGATGCATGGCCAATGCATGGCCTATTGGATGAAAAGGAGCGTGCAGAGCGGTGAAAGGCAGGTGTCAACCGCGTTAACACCGTTGCATTAGGCCTTGATTCATGAACCTGTGCGAAACTCGTGGGGGACATGCGGATGGTTTTGGAAGGGTCATTTCTACTAAGAGAGTCCATAGAGAGTCCATAGAGAGTCCATAGGTTTTATGTATTGTTTATTTTGTTTGTTCCATAGTTTGGCTTGTTTTTGTTTGTTTTAATCGTCACAATTCACAATGGCATACCAGTTTTAAAGAACTGCAGAAATCAACACATGTGTCACGCAGATCATTGTTTTAAAGCCTATGATCTACATGTTTGACGCAGCAAATTGAACCATCTTCGTGATTCATGGCGTGAAGATGAAGATGAGAGCATGAAACGGGCATGATGATGAAGTGTGTGAAGATGAAGTTCAAGAAACAAACATCAGAATCCTGCATGTGTTATTTTTGTCCGTGCGAAATGTACACATTCAGGAAACGAGTATTATGAAGATGAAGATGAATCCCATGAAGCGAGGATGAAGATGAAGTGCATGAAACGAAGAGCAAGATTAAGTGCATGAAAGATCAAGAGGAAGTTCATGAAACGAAGATCGACACAGATGATCCAACCGCCCCCACCAAACCCCACAGTCAACAGGACTTCATGACTGCTGTGTGGTCACATAAAACAGCGTTGTCAGAAGGTCCAAAAACGGCAAAAGTGCAGGAGCACATAACACAACGCCGTTGACATCATAAAGCGACCTCCTCAGAACTGCCGACGGTACGGGGGATGTTGACAGTTGACACACCCTATGGAAGGCTTTCCCTGCCAATTGAAAAACCAGCCTGGGAAGGTTTGAAGGACCTCGGCCTTTGCGATGTCCATCGATTTCCGTTGCTCATTTGGCGGTGCGCTAAGCCGGGCTACATCTATCATTCCAGCATGTTCTATTGAGTTGTTCTTTCCCCTCCGTTCTTGAACATCGTCACCGTCATCACTGGAACTGATCCGAATTGGCTTTCAGCTGTACTCCAGCTTCTCCAAACCAAACCTATGCCACAAGGGTATAGAACAGGCCATGAACCACGTCCTTTGGTGCCACGTCCTGGTTCATCCCAACGGACGGCTTCGTGGGCATCGGTCGGCAGGTCTTCAGCATCGTCGGCACGCAAGCCACTCTGGAAGAGGCGCCGAGCTCGGTCGCCGCAGACTGGCCGAGCTGGAGAGTTTGGGCAGGAAGGTCCAGTGATTCTGGTGTGTTCCATACATCCTGATGCATCCTGGTAGCCATGAAGATGTAGGCAGCATAGTAGCATGATGTAGCATGGCACCAGCAGGTTGTGTACTCGCCCACACGACGACGGTTTCCCTTAAATGATTGAAGGCCAAGGGTCGTCCTGTCCTGACATGGCCACAACGGGCCACACGCTGAACAGCTGGGACATCCTCAGACTGCGGCTCGGTCGCTCGGTCGTTGATCAACCAGAGCAGTCCCAGGCCACATGTGTGAGCGCCGCCGTGGATCAGTTGATGTCCACGAGAGTCAGAGTTTGACTGTAAAAGTGGTGCCCCTCACCATGCCCACCAGAACCTGGTGGTTCTGGTGGTATTTAGGGGGATGTTTAACATTCAATATGTTCATACGGTCATCCAATGGGTGTCCAAATGACTACCCTACCCTACTTACAGGCCTCCATTGAGCGCCCATTGGAAGTGCTAGGCTGTTCAATATATTCATCATGTGGAAGAAATACTCGGCTTGGATGGATCTAAATGGGCAGGAGGTGGCGCCAGGCCCAAGCATTCATGCCTTTCCCGCGGGAAAGCACTCAGCATCACCTGAAGTTCCTGAAGCAACTCCAATCACATGTAGCCAAGTGCTTCAAGTGATAGTGAACGACCAGTTCTGTGGATCACCTACTCCATCATGTATATATAGATCGATTTAAACAAAATATTTAACTGCAAACATGGATGGTCAAACATTTGAAAAGGCCTGGGGAGTGGAAATAAAGTTAACAAAAAGGCCTGGGGAGTTGAAATAAAGGCCTGGGGAGTTGAAAAAGGCCTGGGGAGTTGAAAAAAAGGCCTGGGGAGTTGAAATAAAGGCCTGGGGAGTTGAAATTTGAAATAAAGGCCTGGGGAGTTAAAATTTGAAATAAAGGCCTGGGGAGTTGAAAAAGGCCTGGGGAGTTGAAATTTGAAATAAAGGCCTGGGGAGTTGAAAAAGGCCTGGGGAGTTGAAATAGAATCCAGAGTGTGCATTAGATCCAGAGTTCCAATGGTTGCAGTGTTGAGCCTCAGCCAGGCACAGCCCAGTGGCACAGCGCCTCCCCAGGAGGAGTGCTGGGATGTTATGGTGCTTCCTGTTAGAACATGTTAGAACCATGTGACACAATCAGTTTTAGTGCTCCACCGGTGTAAATGTCGGCAGTTCCAGGATACTTGTTTTTTTGAACGAATGAAAGCCATTGAGCAGCGGGAAAGTCTGCGGATTGTGTTTTGTTTCGTGTGGTGTTCGTGTTCTACGAACTGGTCTTGGAATATTTTGGATGGCCTTCATGTGTATTCCGAGCGGACTTCTCCAGGATATTATGTACATATAAACTGTATGACAAATCAACATCATGCTGCAGCACGTTCGTGTTCTGCTCACAAAAAGTCAGCACACAAAAAACACACACTTGGAGTAGTCCAGTTCATCACCACCTCCATCCATCCTCATCCACCATCCTTTGGTCTGTTTGACACCCACAAAACGCACCGGCCACGGCAGCACGCTGCACCGCATTCGGTACGGCACCCGTGTGGTCGGCACCGCCCGAGGATTGCGAGCTGATCGAGAGGGCGCTCGGTGGATCCAAGGTGGTCGCCAGCCTCCCCGGGAAGGCGCGCAGGGGGACGGACCCGGGGGGAGAGAGTAAGTTAGAGAGGTTCGGATCCAGCGGAGAGAGACAGGGGGAAGGAAAGGAGAAAGTATGTTGATGTCTGATGTTGTTTGTGTTTTTTCTGTTTCATGTGTTTTTTCATGCTTTGAAACTCCCAGAAGAGGGGCTTATATGGGCTTAACACTTTCATTGGACATGAAGCATCCATGAAGTCCAACAATGATGTCAATACATGTGACTCATGTGTCCCGATCGACCGGACTCCGTGGCGCGACCGGGGACGTGCTGAACGGGTGACGGGTGAGTGCGGCCGAGCGCGGCCCCAGGATTTGGACCGCTTGCTGAACTTCTTCGAAGAGGTGGGGCTGTTTACACCACTCCGTGGTGTTCCGTCATGTGAGTCAGAGCTGGAGTGAGGTTTCCACCGTGTCAGGGACAGGCTCGAGCCAATTTCACGGTTGTCTGGAGCGATGTTCCGTCCACTTCCATTAAGAACACATGGAGCATCCCGTACGCCTGGCATATTGACGTGCATGGCGAAGACGAATGCTCACGGAACAGAGAGGCTCAGCCCGAAAGAGGCGGAGGATGCGGAACGCGGGTCTTTGGCGGTAGAACTTCTCAAATCCCCCCAAAAAGACACACATGAAAGAACATGAACACATGCGTAAACCAGTTCCTTCCAAGAGGTGAATTTCTTGGACCACCCCCCCTTTCCCTCTCTAAGGGGCCTTTCTTGTTGACGCCCGGGTCCTGGAATACACTTGGACTTCTGCCACGGATGCTTAGTCTTCCTCCCCTTCAAGTGGGCCGGACTCGCTCATCGACCGGACCCCGGTCTGGTCGACCCGGTTTGGTCGGCGGAGCGTGGCCGACAGGTGAAGATCTCTGCTGGTGAGACGCTCATGAGACACGGCGATCAGGCTGGAGAGATATGGTACGTAGGTTTGGATGGTGAAGAAGGATGGGCCTGGCCTGGGGAGCAGCCTGAGCCTACCTTTTCCATCGTTGTACAGATTACTCCAGTTGTTTGGCTCAGAGATCCAGTTGTAACTTGGATCTCCACTGAGCAAACAACGATCCGAGTTGACACCAGTTCTGCAGCCGTTTTGCATTTGTTTTGTGGAGCAGGCTCGTTGTAGCATGATGAACTCAGAACAGGTGAAGCAGAAATGGCTTTCGCTTCAGCCATAGATGCTTAGGGAAAGAAAATCCATGCATCCAGCCGTTTGGTAGGTGGCCGATGACGAGCCGGGCCTCTTCGTCACGTGCGGCTCACCCAGACTCCGTTCGCTTCCACCGTCCCCGACAGTGTTCGGAGATCGTCCGTCGAGTCGGTCGGTGGATGGACATCGCCAAGGGCCCCAGTTGGGGCCCCAATGGGCCCCCCCCCCCCAGTTGGGGCCCCATATGGCCCCATGGTTTGAGGTTTGAGGTGGGGGGAATGATCCCCTTAAAAACCGTACTCGAAGAGTTGGGCCGTACTGGAGTCTGAGTTCTGAAATTCTCAGGTCACCCTGGTCCGTTTGCCCACATGGCATGTTATGACATCAGTCTAGCAGGGAGGGCTTGGACAGGTCACCGTGTGGTGGCAGGTCCATCGAGGGGAGTTCCTACGTTTTTCCAGATCTACAATTGATGCTTCGACATAGCGGAGGCCTCATTTGGGTTGATGTGAACTTAGTTTGGGTTGATGTGTTTTTTTTCAGAATTGTTTTGGTGAGTGAAACATAGTGAAACCATATCAATATAATATCATTGCTTTGAACATCTGGCCTTTCCCCGTCGTGACCTTAACATCACCATGGTCTCAAAACACGAATCGCCTGAACATCGCCTGACTCGCCCGCTGTACATGGAGAGAACCTCGATCCCAGATGACGATGTAGCAAGCATGTTGACGAAGTAGGAACGATCCTAGGTGGTAAACCATGGATCCCATCCACAGTGGTTGCCGGGATGTCGCCGGGGAAAGCCCGGTGACGCCGCTCGAGCGAAGCCTGGTGCCTAGGAAGAGCGGGCAGCTCGATGTCTATGTGCCGGAAGGCAACAGTGAGAAGAAGGTTGGGCACCTTAGTAGCTTATTTTCTTGACAGTCATATGGGAATCATGGAAATCATGATGAGATACGAGATATTTGATCATATTTGCGTGTCTATTAAGTAATGTCCACTTTGGAATCATACCTAAGCTGCCTCAGGCGCCCAGACGATCAACATTCCATGACTCTCCCTCCTTTCCTGATATGTTTCAGACCCACTCGCCCACCCATCTCCCCCATGTTCCTTATGTTCACCGTGTTCGGACGACTGCAGGTCTTCGCCTACACGGAGAGCGGTCAGGTGGTCGGCGAGCTGGCCGTGCTTTTCCGCGCGCCCCGCGCCGCCACGGTGAAGGTGCTGGCAGGGAGCCGGATGAGTTGAGGTATCCGGTGGTTCCCAAGAGCCTGAGGTTCGGGAATGGGAATGGGAGCCGGTGGTGGTAGTTGTTTTCATGTGTTTTTGTTTTTTCGAAGAGGGAGAGTTGTATATACTAGGCTGAAATGACAAAGGACTTGTGAAAACTACCTCCAAATTACGGCGGCTAAGTCATGAAGGTTTAGCCTACCCCCCCACAAGTATTTATGTCATGAAGCAAAAGCTTGGAAAAACATCAAAATCAGAGATGCCAGAGGTTGTCACCAAAGATCCTAAAAACAGTTGATTTTATATTGGCAAGCATCATGACATACGACTTTGGTATCTAAACAATGAATAAACCATCGAGAGATAGGAATTTGAGAGCAAAAACGCACAAAGGCAGACTTAAAGCAAAAGATGTTCCTATGACATGTGGACTTTCATTAGCTCTAGTATTCCAGGAGCATGCCCCCCACCAACCCCCCCTCAAAAAAATCTCAGGACCAGGTCAACAAGGCCTATGTCATGAGTGTGTGCCAATGAAATTGCCCTGTATAACATTTGTACATGACTTAGGACTTGCCCTGGGAAAGTTGTATGTCATTTCGACCCAATTGGCCTAAGTCATCTCACCCTAGTATAGTCTTTTTAAATCGGTTGAATACATCTTACAAAACGCCCATGCAGCATGCTGTCGACTCCAGGCGCGCACCGATGCAGTCCTGTGGAGCGTGGACCGGCGGTCCTTTGAGGCCGTCGTGGTCGGTACCGGTTTCGGCGCTCCGGGCATCGCTACTATAGGAGCAAGGACGCGCCCCGGGCCGGGGCTTCCTGGTCTTATACTACGAACGGCAAAAGGCTGCTACTAGTAACAATGCGCGAACTGGGCGGCTGGGAACGTGTCCAAGTTCGCTGAAGTTCTTCGCATGTTCTTGGTTTTTTTCATGTCTTATAAAGTGCACATGTTGGAATCCTGAAAAGGCGAAGAAGGACCTTTTCTGCAGACGATCCCATTGACCCTGAGAATGAGAAGAAAAACCCGTGGGTTTCGACCATTTTCCTCTACAACCCTCCACTCCATTCTCTAACTCTTCTCAACTCGACTCAACGTCTCACGTGGTCGGCAGCCTCGTTTCTACCGCGAACACATCGCGCCAAGTCAGCCTCATTGCGCCATGCAGGCCTGCGGTGGCCGCTCGGAGGGCTCCATGGCCAGGACAGACGTTCTGTTTGGTTCGTCCAAAAGGTGTTCTGTGCCGTGTTTGGGGCATTTCGAAGACCAAAAAAGCGGTTCCACAGACTGAATTAGCATAAAGCCTGGAGGCCCTTTATAACTGAAAGCAGTGACAGGCAATGAGTGTAAATACTTGAGATTCAGTCGCGAAGTGGATTTGATGCTGTAGAGGGGATCTATCTGATTTTGTTTGTATAGGAGGGTAAGGTGAGATGTGGATGTGGAGAATGTTTCTTTTGTTTGGTGCCTACAATCTGGGCATTTGACGATGTTGATTGTACCATCCCTACTGTAGGGCTTCAACTACCTCCGTTTCGAAGATGGTTATGGTGGGTGCCAGGGGGTCCCCACCGAACCCGAGGATATGGGCCAGGAGCCCTAGGGAGTTGAACACCGGGGAGAGTTTTTGTTGCACATTTTGTGGTGGGTTTGTGCTTCAGCTTTGGGAAGAGTGGGGAGGTCACGGACTCGGAGGGAAGACCCTTGTCGCGAACTCCTGCGTGTGCCGGATGAGCCGCACTGGCTCACTTGGCTTCAGAATCGGATGTTCCAATCTGAGTTTCCTCAGTGGAAATGCACCTCCCAAGAGGGATCACCCACCAAAGCGACAGAGGATCTTCAGATTTCCCCCCAAGCAGAGTGGAGCATCACTAGATGGGGACATGCTGCAGATAGTGAGCATCTCTGGCAACAGAGTGGCCGAACTTGAAGAGACAAGCCTGCGACCAATCGTGGAAAGCGACAAGCCTGCGACCTGCCAGATGGTTTCATTGCCAGTCACTCCATGATCTCCATGTATATGGTATATGCCTACATTGATCTCCCTGGCACCACCCCAACTGATTGGCATAATATATACCAGTCCCATGGAGTGTTTGGGATTTAGATGTAGAAGACTGTTGGAATTTCCCAGTTGGATGCAGGTCGACCTCCGTCGGTGCTCCACCATGTCACACTGGGGACAAACCTCCTTGGTGCAAGTGCAAGTAGGACATAGTGTTTTGAGATGTTTTGAGAAGATGTCGACGTCACTGAAGTTGCACGAACACCTGTCTCCAAACAAGTTCTCTCCATCGGATATAGTGATTTGCCATATAATGTATCGGGAGGGAGCCTGTAGCTGAGCGGGTCACTGTGTGACTCACTCCCAAAATGTTCTCAGGCTCACAATCAGCCAAATCCTTTGGTGCTTTTGTGTTGTTATAGGCATCTCAGCCATCAGTTAATCAGGTTCGCTAGCTCACAACAGACCCGTTCGATTTCGATTGTTCCAACACGTCCGGTATTCCCCACAGAGTTTTCCAAGCTTGTTTTCCAGTGCTCCAATTCAAACGGCTCCCACAGCCACGCTCACAAAACTGCTCATGTTGTATTGTTTTTTGGGATGATAGAATTCACTGGTGTACATCTTGGTGTTGGATGTGGGCATTGCTTTTTGACCGATTTTGGGGCCCTGTCCTTTTCTTAAAAGGTTGGTCTTTCTCCAAAGTTCCTGAGTAGAAGCTCTTGTTTAAAAGCCAGTGAAATTTTGCCAGGTGAAGACCCTCAAGGAATGGCTCGCAGATCAGCATTGCTACTCCAGGTTTCGGCAGAGACTCTTGCAGGATGGTGTCGATCTACCTGATGATGCTCGCTTGATTCCGCCCTTGACTTTGCAGTTGGTCATCTTGAATTTTGAGATCCCAGATGCGGTCCAAGACCAAGCATTCCGCGATGCATGCGGCCAAAATCATGATTTGGAGGTTGAAAGGATTCTTGGACTCCCATCGGATCCAAACACTGGAGAAGCCGACGAGGACCGATTAACAGTTTTGCACATCGCAGCAGAGAGCGGCAGCTTGGAAGTGGTGCGCTTGCTTTTGGAGGCTCGGGCCGACCAAGACGTGACCGAATGGGAAGATGGCCAAACGGCCTTGCATCTTGCAGCACTGAATGAGCACCAGGAGGTGGTGCGATTGCTGCTGGAGTCTCGGGCTGACAAGGATGCGAAGCAGAAGGATGGGTCAACAGCCTTGCATTGGGCAGCTGCGAACGTTGATCTCGAACTGCTGCGATTGTTGTTGGAGAGTGGTGCGGACAAAGATGCTGCAGACGCCGACGGGAAAACAGCCTTGCATCGAGCAGCCTTTGAGGGTGAATTCGACGTGGTGCAGTTGCTGCTCGAGGTTCAGGCTGACAAAGATGCCAAAGATGTCAATGGCAGAAATGCATTGCATGGAGCAGCTTGGACTGGACACCTAGACGTGGTGCAATTGCTGTTGGAGTGTCGGGCTGATCACAATGCTACGTGCCGTCTTGGCCGAACAGCTTTGCATCAAGCAGCTTGTATGGATCACTTGGAAGTGGTGCGTTTGCTGCTGCAGTCGCAGGCTGACCAAGCGGTTGCGGACGCAGAGGGCAGAACGGCCTTGGATTGGGCAATTACGAATGATTACAGGCAAGTGGTGCAATTGCTGAGCGCGGGGAGTCATGTTACTTCAACGGCTGGAGAAGAAAACAGCTGAACAGTGCCGCTGGATGCATCAAGTGCACCAACGGGAAGTGGTGCTGTTTCACTCAAGTCTTGGCTCCTAAGTCATAAGGGAGTTATATATGACTTTTTGCTAAGGATTTGTTTGTTTGATGTTTTTTGGATTTGGAACGGTACTGTAATGAACATTAATGACACAATGTAATTAGGAAAACATCTGAAGTGGTATCTTGACTGACTGGGACGGACCCTGAGTCTAAAAACACTCCTGGCCGAGCTACACCAAGGTTTTCTTCTGCCTGGGTTCAAGGGAATGAGAGGATTGGTTTTAGGAATGATGGACACAGACATTGGGGCCCCAAAATGACTTGGTTCTCCTGTGTTCATTGCTCCGACTCCTAACCAATTTGCATGAATTTACCCCTGAAGCTTGAAAGTGCGAGCGATAGCGGTGATCAGAACATTTGATGTTTGTGTTTACTCCAGCTCAGGGTGATCAGATGATATCAGAATATACGCCAACTCTTTGAGAGGTCCGTCCGAGAGGAAATCCTCACAACATCCAGAAAAGCATGGAACATTTATACTATATAAATGGCTTGGCATGGCTTCGATACCAACATACTGTCTTTCTGGTTAGTATATACTGTATGTATTTGTTCTTGGCTCATCTACATGTTTGCAGCCCAAACCATCTGGGGCTTGGCTCCACACGAACCATCACCACTTTTGCAGCTTTCGGCCAGCCGTCAGCCAAGCATCATTTCGGATCACCATGGGAGTCGCGCTTGGGGTACACTGGACCACACCGCCTGTATCCAATTCTACAAGTACTAGTAGTTCTCATCCCTTCTCTCATCTCTTCGCATCCTCCCATCTCATCCCTAACTTCACCTCACCACCTCCTTCCATCCATCCCCCACCTCCAGCCCCACATCCACGTCCTCCACCCGGGCCCGAGCTCGTCGTCGCCAGGATCAACCAAAACCCGGACGCCTTGCTGGCCTCGGGCGCCGCGGCCGGCGTGGCCGCCGGCTTCAACGCGCCCATCGCCGGGATCTTCTTCGCCTCCGAGGCGGTCTGACCGGCGGTGCGCGGACCGTGGAGACGAGGGAGGACGTGAATGGAATGGAATGGGTTGGAAGCGGTTCCGGCATGCTGCTGCTTTGGATGTTTGGTATTGTTTGGTTGGGTGTTTTTTTGGGACATGAACATGATACTGTATTGTGTTTATATGTGTTTGTGTGGTGTTGTGTTTTTTTTCCTGGAATAAAGTGCCTGTATATTATATACAAGCTTCGTCTGGTGGATAAGAAGTATTAAGAAGTATCTACTGGGTGTGGTCATGTTTTGCCCGACTCAAAGAAGGGGTGATGGTAGGCATAATTCTCACTTCTAGACTCTAGACATCAACAGACTTCTTAGAGTGTGATATGTTTCCAACATTTTCCAACCACCCAGCAAATCAGCTTGACTATATTTATATATATACCTACAATACTTGGTATAGAATGGAATACTGAAGAAACGCGCAGTATATATGAATACTTCCCATGCCCGGCCGGTGCAACACGCCCGGTTCTAGTGAGACCCATCGGTTGGCCGCCCGCCCTCGACCGGAGGTGGTGAGACCTGGAGACGACAACTCCTTGGACCTCACCACCAGGCGGGTGGGTTGCCGTGTTGGACGGTTCGTTCGTTACTTTTTTTTTAATCATTAGCGGCACCGAGTACTCTCGAAACTCTCATGGTGGAAGTAACCACCACCTGTTTCTGGATTTCAGGATATTTCAGGGGTTCTTCCTGTCAGGGCCAGACCATCCACTTCCATGTTGGTTCCAGTGTGAGTAGTTGGCACCGTTTCCCCCCTGGGTTTGTCCTAGACAGGGGTCTAGACAGATGGCACGGCACTACCACTGTGACTTGGAAATATTTGTGCTGTGCCATCTACTCTCGATCCACTGTACTTTGGACGGTGGAACGAAGAGCAGCTGCTCTCGAGCAGCCACCAGAGAGTCTTGCATTGGACGTGGTAGGATATATAGGGCTGATTGCACTGGGACATGGTTCAGACATGTGAGGGTGCCATGTGAGGGTGAAATCTGACAGGCCCAGGCAGTTTGTTATTAGGAAGTAGAGGTAAATCCATTCAGTGAGGGCAAAAGCACATCGAGGGACAGGAAGGAATGCTCAACAAAACGTCCCCACCCCACAGGATGGTTGGTGAAGCACCACCTCTCCACATAGCTGAGTGAAGCTGTGTACCTTTCCTCAGCCAAATTCCGGTGAACCAAGACCTCAAGTTTGGCTGCACCACGCCGAACCCCACCGCCGTTCGGCTGCACCCGCCGTTGGGTGAACCCCGCCGCCGAACCCGAGACCGTTGGTTCGGTGATACAACGAATCCGAGAGCGGCTTGCTGTAACAGCCAAAGGTTGAGGGACCCTAGGCCCTAGTTCGACTATCCCAGTTTGGTACCCCAGTAGGCCAGTAGGGTCCTAGTTCAGGTCACTGGCTACCTCTCTTGGAGCCTTCCCTGCCCAACAATGGTTCACCCTCTTTTCCCATTCGATCAGAGACCGCCAGGCTCCTAGCAGCGGCGGTGAGCGCTGCTGTAGTGCAGTCATTTCTTCCAGCAGGGATCCCAGTTTTTTGCGCCACACAGGGTGCAACGAGTTTGCCAAGGGTGGCGATGAAGAGTTTGGAATTTTAAAGTGCGGGAAGAAACGCAGTCACATGAAAGAGATGCTTTTGTTTGGTTTGTGAAAACAATTTTGGAAACATGCAGGGAGTATATATATACCTGGAGTTTCTCAGGACAAAACATAATTCCAACACAACACAATAAATATATATATATATATATCAATATATGAAATCCTAATTGTGAATTTGTTTTAAAACGGCTTAATCATGTTTAACATGGCCAGCTGCTTCGAACACCCCTTCACATAAATTTGGGCGACACACCCACGCTGAAAAAGGGCCAAAGCCACAAGACTGCAGCCGTTACGGGATCCTTTGCAAAGACTGCACACTCATCGCCCGTGATAGTTCTTACACTCGCCGGCGGGCCGATGTCGGGGAAGTCTCGGCCCATGGGCGGCCGATCAAACCAGGAGCTGCGACGGACCGGGGGCTTGAAAGATGGCTGTGACGGCCGCGCTAGGACTCCAACGGCTGAGTCCGGCGGAGTCCTTCAGCAAGCTTTTCAGGTTCCAGACTGTTCGGGGTTCCGTGAATCAAAGCAGTGAAGACGGATCAGAAAGGATACCTGAATCAACCAACCAGTATGGTATGTAGCAGTCCCCCCTGCACCAAAATGTTCAGCTTTCCGCGTGGGGAACTTTTCACCGGAGGGAGGACGCTCCATTCGGACGCTCCAGGGATCCACGGAGATCACCCTCTTGGAGGGTGGCAGTGGATCCATCGGGAGTACTTAGCCCTGTTTAGCTGAGAAGATCGGGGGATTGACATTTGTTACTCACTTCAATTTGGATCTAGGGGGATCCATAGCTTCCAAAAGGACGAAGACATGTTATAACTTGTAATTAATTTACTCATTGGTGCTATGTCAAATAGATTCTAAATGAATGAATATCACGGTACAACTGCCCTGCACTTAACAATGTAAACAATTAACTTCTCTGATTTTAAACATTTTTTAAAAATATCCGTCAGTGCGCCCCAGACAACTAAATGCAAATCTAATTTCTTCCCTTTTGTTTTCCCCACAGCTCCCAAGGGTGGGCCAGCGATCAAAGCCACCGACTTCTCCTGGGACGGCGGCAATGTGGTGGGGCTGCCCGGCAGACACGAAAGGGAAGCACTGGGGCGAAGTTCGGGCGCCAAGTCGGGCGCGACTTCGTCGCGCGACCCGACATCGAAGTGGCGGCTCGACATCGAAAGGCACAGTAAAAGAGTCAAAGAGTCAAGAAAGAAGTCTTGTTATTTCGCTGAGTTAAAGCAACTGAACCAGCTTTGGAGGAGGGGAAAGGCTATACCAGTCACTGAATGCGCTCGCAGATCCGTTGGAGTCAGGTCATCAAATTGTTTGACCCCTGTCTTTGCCATCGCACGAACCAGTTTGTATCCGGACGAACCCTTCACCTGCTAATAGAACCGTGGTGATGTGATGGAAACCTTGGTCGGTCTCCGATCCGTGCTAGCTTCTTGCTACTACTCGAAATGCCCTTTGCTACTAGTAGCGATGCCCTTGTTACTAGCAGCGATGCCCGCCTGTTACGAGTCTCGCAACGGGACCGATGCACCGCAAACAGGAATTGCTCTTCTTCTTGCTCTTGGGTGTCCTCACAGGTGCCCTTTCCGGTCGCGCGCGGTAGACCTCGCGTCGACCTGGAGGACGTCGTGTGGGCCACTCCGACGACAAAAGTGATTGGTTTTCCTGGGTCGTGTGGAACAAAACCCCTCATATGACGAAGCTTTACAATCCAAATGAGGGGGATAAATCAAGAGTTAGCATGAGGGGATTCCTTGGGCTTGCTTAATTTGTTTCTGGCCTTTTGAGCGCTTTGACTGTGGCTTAATCCACTTCATGGAACCTTTGGATGTTCATCAAGCTTCCCTTTGACTTAGGTCTTTTTTTGGTATTAAGTAATTCTATATATGATCCACATCTGGTCCCTTGGTGGATTTTGGCGGGAGTATTTTCACCCACTCAGATCACGCTATTGCCCTTGATTTCTTGCCCACCCCCCCTGCCAGTGCTGCGATAAATCCCGGTGTATTCCAATATGAACAAGTAAAGTTACAAGACATACTGTAACAAAACGATATGCTTTTCTGTGATGTCCATCGTGGGACTGTGAAACTCTATGACTCTAGGTGTGGGGAGTGTTTGCAGCGTAGTTCTTGTCCTTTATCATGTGTTTGTTACGAGCCGTGCTACAAAATAGCTTGCATCCCAGCCCAATCCAGCCCACTATGTTATGGCCACACCCATGTGATTGGGCCATATTGCAGCCGTGGTGGTTCGGGCTGCCGCAGGCTGTTTGGCCTACGGCTACAAGAAGATTGTCGCCTCTAGCCGTGATGTGATCACATCATTCAATGAGCACGGAGTGCCGAGCATTTGGTTGCCCATGGCACGGTGACCCAAGAGTGACGCGGCAAACCGCCAATTGGGGAAAGGGCCTGTGAGTGGGTTGCTTTGATGCGTAGAATTTTGTTTTTAATGTATTTTACAGTATTGCATCTTTGAGCTCTAGAAATGAGGCATGAGACCCAAAACCTCACGCCTAATGTGCTTAGCGGCAAAAACACTGGGAATGCTTGATCCGGGCCCATTGCGGTGCCCAAAACGCCACCTGACTCACTGGATGGGTCGAAAAGAACATCGAACACCTCTTTGGAACTCCTGGAAACTTGTTCCATCTTATTCCTCTTGAATCGTCCCGTTCTGGTATGACTTGGCGGCTTAAAGGAAACACATGATCCATTCAAAGACCCAAAGAATTAAGTTGATTCAGCCTGAGAGGTGTTCAAGTTCGCTTCATTTTTTCCACCTGTGTTCATTCTTCCGAACCCCGAAAAGGATCCCATTGAAGCTCTCCCCCAACCTAAGACCTGGACACCGGGTCTGGAAGAGCCGCGTCCTGCCTCGCTCACACCCGTGCCGGCACCGTTTTCAGCGTTAGCATATATGCCATTCCACTTGCAACTGAGGCTTTTCCACTTGCCATCCAGGTCTTAGAACTGCCAGCTCAAATTGGAGCCATGCAGGCTCAGGTATGGTATCATGTCAAATCCATGTATCATGCCCAATCAGGAATCAATATATAATGGCATATTGGCATATCATGACATGTTTGCTTTAATTCACTCACCTTGATCATGCTCCAGCGATGGGAGTCAGATTCTTCGGATGCAGAGCTGGAGAATTTCACGAAGGAGCAACTGGAGTTCATGCACTGCGGCGACCTTTTTTACCCCTTTGTGAAAACATGGCTTCAAGAGTGGAAGGGAACCTTTCCCTATGGGAGTGATTGCAACTTGCATGCAGGGATGTGTAACTCCTTTCTGTTTGAGCTGGTGGTTCTAAGACCTTTGCTGTCCAAGGCAGTGGCGCTGATGCACCACTCGCAGCTATCCGCATGCTTTTTCAGCAGGCTGGCAAGGAGCACTTGGTCGAGTACAAGCGACTTGGCTGATTCACTCTGAGCGCCGTGGCTTGTCCACTTTCCATTATACCCAATCCCCGAGGTTTGCATCAGAAAAGAAGCAGTCCGCCCGGGACTTCTTGGAGGCCAACTACGAGTGTGAAGCGCTTCTTGGCTATCCCAGTTATCCCACACACTGTCATGAGCATTTTATTTGGCAGCAAACACCCCCAGGCTTTCCAGGGACATCTTCGACCGCAATGGAAGCAAGTGGAGGAACAAGGCCATCCACGGTCATTAAAACAGATTGAGTTTCAGTACGTTTCAGTCATGAGTTTTATTCATAAGAATTGTCCCTGGAGGTAGCATTGTACTCCGCTGGCTTCCCCTGTACGCCGTACTCTATGCTTCACACTGGCACTTCACTGCTCGAAGATCCTAATGCAAGGCAAATGTTTCAGACCCTCCGCCTACTCAAAAAGCAAAAACCGGTTGATACTTGGTGGCAATTGAAACCACATGTTGTCCATGGTTCAAACCCGGTAATGAAAGCATACCGCTGTTTGTGGGCTTAGATTGGGATCCTGGAGAATGTGATGGGTTTCATGCGGGTAGCTGCAGAAGTACTTGATTTGATCGGTCGGAACTTTGGCGCAGAGCATCTTGGCTATGTTGACTCTCCAAATGATGAACCATGAGTCCATAAACCCAAAAACCTTTTACCCTGTGATGCTCAGGTACCGATTTGTTTCTGTCATCTTGAACCCGCCACTTATCTGCACAGAGACTGCCAAGACTAATTAGCTATGCTACGCTGCGCCAAACCATGATGCAGGCAGCGATATGGATCACCAATCAGCCGTCGCCGTATATACATCATCCTTGTGAAGAAGGAGGCTTTGGTAGATGAAGCAGCGGTCAACTTTCCCGCATTCATTGCCAACACATTGCGGTCTATGCACATGAAAGCAAAAGTCTCCTGGTAACCTTACTGAAACTAAAAGCATTGACTCTCAACTCCAATGTCAGCTACTGATGATCCAACACTGCCAAGTCTAAGGCATGATCTTCTATTGCCAAACTCTCATCCAGCTGTCCAAGAAGATCGTGGATTGCGCCTGGCCAGGCGAGCGATCAATCGGAGGAAGAACCACATCCTGCAAAAAAGAAATCAAATGATTAAGGTCTGATGTTTCTTGAATGGTCGTTGGCCCACTTCAAAAACATGTGTGCCAAGGAAGGTCAACAAAGATGCCAAGTGGATAAAGCGCCACAAAAAGTGGGCCCAGGACAACAAGGCAGGTCAATGTCATGCAGGTCAACAATACACTACTGCCCAAGTTGATGAGGTCAACATCCGTTCTTCGCGGCACGCCTTCTCCGAGAACTACAGCGCGGCTTCGGAGGTGGTCTCCACCTACAGAGAGATGGAGGAGCAGCGAGGGAGGGACTTGTCAGTATTGTCTTCTCCATTCTTCCCAACCCCAAAAAATCACCCTACAGGCACTTGATCTTCTCACGGCCTCTGGCAAGTTCCCACAGCACTTTGTGGCCAATACCAGTCAAAATTTGCACTGCATGCCGGCAGCTCCATTGTCATCCCCTTTGATGTGCATTACGCCACTGGGCCTACATTGGGAAACAACTATCAAGCCTACAGTTCAACTATCCAGCTCAAAACCTGCATTGGGAAACCTGCTTTGCTGAGGCCGAAGGGATCCTTCTTGGTCACTTCAAAGGGGAGATACTTAGTTGGACTAGAAGCAATGCTGCTCATGGGTTTCCCAGTGGATGAGATGGATACAAGTGTTTGCAGCCAGCGGGAACCTTGCCTAAATCAAGTTCAATCCAAATCTATTTGTGGACTGTCTACCCCACTTCTCACTACTGTATATTATTATGTGCTGAAAATCTGAACATATGTTTGTGGCACTAAGGAGCTTCATGATTTAGCAGGCAATGCTATGTCAACACGCGCTGTTTTGGCAGCGTTCTGTGCAGCTCTCAAGGCAACATCGCCGAGCAAAATTCAAAGCATCCTGGACCGCACCTGAAACGGTCTGACACTGACTGAGTGCAAAAAAACTTTGATGAAATGCTTGCTGACATCGTATGTTTGCGCCACCATCATATTCACATGTTGTATCGGAATCAAAATTCAAAACACCGTGCGTCGCAGCGTTTCACCTGTCAGTGTGCTGTTGTCAAGGAACTGTGACAATGCATGCATTTCAACAGGATGTCACAGACCTGTTACAGACCCAAATTTGGTACCAGCTTTGTTTCAGATTTGTTACTTTTTGCACGACAGCATTTGACCGTGCTGCAATGCCGCTACAGAGATGGGATTCAGATGATAGCTCTGAGGGGGAGGTAGCGGGGGGATTGCAGCGATACAGCGCAAGTTCAGAGCAACTTGACTTGATACTGTTGTTATGAACTTTGTGATTTGTCTTGTGAATTGTGTGAGTTGTGGGTGGGTTTCCACATTCAGCAAACTTGTGGCTACAAGGTCTTCTCAATCAGGGCCTGGAAGTTCATCTAGTGATGATGAGAGCGACAGTGATCATAAGGGCGGCACTGGAACTATATCACTGTCAGTGACCCGGATGGAATCACTCCATGCTGTCGCCACTGAAATAGACAAAACCAGCGACAAGGACATTGCCAACAGGTTGAAGGCCGTCCTCCGAGATGGCCCATGTGAATGCCAGTGCAGAGTTCCAGTGCCTGCACTGATCCGCATCAACAGGACCTTTTGGAATTTGAGCAAAGCGGCGCAAGATAGCATCCTTTGGTCAATCCAAGCAGAAGCTACTGGAAGAAGAAACAACTGGCACCTTGAAGGACAGTCTATTATTGCATGTTATTTCACTTTGCAAATTTACTTTCCATGAGGTGAACAAGGCCGCTTGTTGTTTTTAACAATGCACCAGGTCATCATGTCTGCAAAGATGCCTTCTTGCGGTACTTGGGTATCGGAAAGGCGCGGGTGGCAAGATGCAAAAGAACACACCAAGGAGTTGACAAAAGGACAGTCACCGGACCTGGTGGATACTTGGTAGCTGATTGGTTTGTATGTTGTGACTTGTCTGTCCTGGCGACTTGACTACATAAGTTCCTGCCGGCCTGAGGACCAGCCACCAAACCTGCTATCAAGACATCGGCCATCAACAGTTTCATGATGCACTTGTACTGGTCAGCAGGTGAGAGCATGACGACTTCGAAGCTTGAACAACGATAGCTGTGAAGCTTTCCTCATTGAGTGATTGAAAGCAATCGTCTGTTTGATCAAATAAGGATAGCTCCAAAGTCTCTTTTGGAGAAATCCGACCAGCAGCTGCGCGAGGATCTTCTGAACAAGCTCGTGGACTCCCGTCTCATGGGGCCGACTGCTCAGTTGTGCTTTGGGCATGACCCAAAACAACTACCCATGCGTGAACTGCCTCACGGATGTTACTGGAACGTCTACATGATGTACACGGCGTACTGCCGGATGATGGGGGAGGAGCCTGCAGGGAAGAGTTTGTTCTATAGCACTGTGCGAGCTTGGGACAGCTGCCTGAAGTTCCACAAGAAGACGGTTCATTCTCAGTGCTGGCAATGCGCCAAACTCAATTCCTTGATTCGGCAATCCACGGAAGCTTCTCTCAAACAGCATCCTAAAATATGTCATTGTCATGTAGTACAGTAACGGTTAATTGCCAAACATGTTTGGATCCATCCAAGGACTTCCAGCAGGTCATCAAGTGGTCGGACATGCTCCTCTCGCACTACACAGTGCAATGGAGAGACCGCCAGACCTATTGGATGGCGCGTCAGCGTGCAGCGTCCTACAAGGACCTCTGCTGTTTGATCATCGACGGATACGACAAAGGAAAGATTTGTTTACCAAAGTGGCCAAAGTCTCGGTTGCCAAAAAAAGGTCATATATGAGACCGTCCAGCGTAGCCTGCCTGCACCCATGATGAAGCAATCTGGAATTGCGAGCTAAT